GAACCCTATCGGAATAACGTATCCAATTCATTATCCCATTAGAGTTTCTGACTACGTTTCAGGGGTCTAAGTGTAATTATCGATACCACGGGGACCTTACAGTTATTTAAGCTTACCTCAGGGGGGTGTGTGTAATTTACCCTAATTTTATTATGTACTTGATAATATAGTTGGTAATGGGTCGGTTGCTGAAAAACCAACTCATTCTCAGCTCTATCTAAAAATCATACAATTAAAGATAGTAAAATCGCAATTTTTATTTTCTTAATTCAAGTGTGTCAATATATCAATTATTTTAACTCCACTATTATGACACAATAATTAATCAAATACAAAATATCAATATAATTCCATTTTAAAAAAAAAATATATTCATGAAAATCATAATTTTAGGAAAATCTATATAATTCTAATTGCCGTTTGAAAAACTTGGCTTTCATTTGTTTTTTTCTTTTGGATTATTTTGTAGACCCTCATTTCCAAACTATATAAAATTATCTACAAGTGGATTATACTCTACGGGAAATCCTCCTTATTTCGAAAATATTTTGACATACCTCCCTGGGCCATTCTAAAGTTCCTAAAATACCCTTTTAAAATCAGTTTTAAACCCTACCCACTCACATTTTTGTCTCTCTCTTCTTCTTCCAGATTCACAATCCCACCTCCACAAACCTCCCACCGGCGAAATGCTTCTCGGAGTCATAACTCTCTCTCCGGTTGTCGAAATGCGATGGTTTAAACTACCGTTGGATTCATCTCGTCGAGCTCTTTCTTTTGGTGGTGATTTCATTCAGTTTGGAGCGTAAATCTGTTTCTGTAATTTTTTTTATTCGACGTCGGTGGTCTTGCTGGATGTGTATTTTGTGTTCCACCAGTCGAAATTTGACGGGCTACCCACCGTTGGATTCCTCTCGTCGAAATCTATATTTTGATGGTAATTTCATTGTTTTAATGTTCTCAGATTTATTTCTATAATTTTTTGCATTTGTGGGCGCGCCGAATCGTGGGTGGTTATTAGCGGCGCCTAGGATTTTGGTAGGAGGCGAGGGGGTGAGGAGTCACTGTCTGTTTGATTTAAAATATTTAGCATTTCCCAGCAACAACCTCTCTCTATCTCTATCTCTCGAGCTCTTAGTGTTTGTTGATTTTTGAGTGTTTTGATGTTTCTTCAAATTTTGTTGATTTGCACTAAAGTAATTTTTTTTTTGTTTTGATTTTGCAATTGCAGCTTAATGAAACTCATTGATCCTCTCCTTGAAGGTGTCAAAAATTTGGTTGAAGTTACATGTGAAGCAGTGTTCAACAAACTGTATACATTACTATACATTACTATACATTATTATATCAATAGTAACATGTAGTTACATATGCATATATTTGTGCATTTTCGATTTGTATTTTATTGGTTCTGAGGTGATTTCTAATAAAAATATTGAAATTTGTAAATTTTTGTTGGGGTTTATGAATTTCTTTTGTATAAGCCAGTATTCGTGTGTGTGTACAATTGATCGACTAAAAATATGGGGAAAAAAACGAACATAACTACGAATTACTATAGGCACTATAGTTACATGTAGTTATTTTCAGTACAGTAAACATATTGTTTTGAAAATTAAAAATTCAAAAAACAAAAAATAAATTAATTAATTTTTAAACAAAAATTAAAAAATTAAATATATATATATATATATATATATATATATAAATTTAACAAACAGGTTTATTATTATTTAAAAATAATAATAATAATAAATAAATCAGCGAAAATGATAAATGCATGATTAGAAATGCTGAATGCAGTTTTTGCCGAAAATTGCATATAACGTAGTATAATACTTTCGCTTCTCCAGAAGTATGTCAAAATATGATTTGGACTTGGGTTTTCCCTAATTTATCTGGTGGCTAGGGGTAGACACGGCCCCGGGTCGGGTCGGACCCGCCGGGTCCGGTTCGGTTCTGGGTCCGAACCGGTTTTTTTAAGCTTTATAAATCAGCGAAAATGATAAATGCATGATTAGAAATGCTGAATGCAGTTTTTGCCGAAAATTGCATATAAACGTAGTATAATACTTTCGCTTCTCCAGAAGTATGTCAAAATATGATTTGGACTTGGGTTTTCCCTAATTTATCTGGTGGCTAGGGGTAGACACGGCCCCGGGTCGGACCCGCCGGGTCCGGTTCGGTTCTGGGTCCGAACCGGTTTTTTTAAACTTTGACAAAAATTTGCTTTGAATAGGGATCGAACTCTGGTCCCTTCAAATGTATGTGCCTATCCAAACCAATGGGACAAGGCAATTGTTTGTGAAAAATTATTATACAAATAATCTTTAATAGATTATTAATTATCATATTCATAATTATTAAAGAATTTTAATTAAATTATTAACAAATATAATATAATAAAAAAATTAAAATAAATTGAAAGAACTTGAGCTTAATCCATTTAAATCTTACGATTCAATTCTAATATTTGAATAAATGTATATGTAAAAAAAGGATTAAATCATACGATCTACAATTTAATTCTTACGATTTTTTAAAATTAAACCAATTATTAAAAGAGAAATTACATCATAATATTTTGAATATAGTAGTCATATATAATATTAATTTTAAA